GGAAAAGAAAAGAAAGGAAAAGAAAAGAAAAGGACCACACGGACCCAAGGCTACTACCTTAAGTCATTTCACCTGAATGAATGAATATAATCACTTTATGGTTCAGTTTCCTTATAAGCAAAGTCGGGGGGGCAATAAAGTCTACTCTAGCTAGACATCACAGAACTGATGTTCATTAAAAAAGATCTGTGTTTTTTTTAAGATGCTACAGTTGGATCTGTCTGCTTGAATAGAGTAGCTCTGTATCACTAACATCTGTTATCACTGCTTTTATAGAAATTTACTGCCTACCATGCAGGGGGCTGGGAAAGCACATTGTTAGCTTGCCATATGCCATCTCTGAGTGACAGTCTTACACATGTAAACACGATGAATTTTCACAAAAGCTTTGATAGAACATTAGTTTCCCCTCAGAACAGAAATGAAAGAGAGAATGACAAGTGTAGTCGAAGAATAAACTAGATTACAGTTAAACAATAATCAAATAGGGAAAACCTTGAACTGCAATCTGTTCTTTAGAAAGGCTCCAAGAAACACAGGTAGGGGAAGCTGGTAAAAATGGAACCAAGCTCCAAGTCCTTGTCCACTCCATTAACTGAGCTATTTCAAGTAGCCCTTGCTCACCTGTCCACCCCAGTTCAGCTGCCTCTGAACCTGCCCTACCCCCACAGTCTGATTCTAGACTCTGTTTCCTGGGAATGCAGGCGTTCTGTGTGGACCTTCACAAAGGCCGCACCACAACCAGGCTTTGTATGTGCCCTACCCACTAACCCTGAACTCCTTGAGGGGCCAAGAACACGAAATAAAAAAGCACCTCATTCACCTCTGGGGACGGAAATAATTCATTTTGTATTCATGTAATTTTAAAGTACAGAATTTGAGAGCTGGAGAAAATTTCACAGACCAATTATTCTAAGCTTTCCCTCTTTTCTGAGATTTTTTTAAATGACTTGCTCCAAATTAGACAAGAACCAAAAACCAGAATGCAGACCATGACACTCTTGTTCTGATGCTCTGTCCCAGGATACCATGCTGCCCTCCCTTTGCAAATGCACAGAATTAAATGAGGGAGGCTTAGAAATTAACTCCATTTCCCCCTCCACTTCGGCCCCTGGTCAAGTTTATAGGCCTTTGGAGGAGATGAAGGATTTTGCTCACAATGACGTGGTTCAGAGCAGAGCCAGGATGGAAACTCAGATCTAACTTGTGGGACAATGTTCTTCCCAGTATGTCATAGTGATTTCAACTTTCCCGTGGAGGGAGTGAAAGTAGAACAAAAGATAGCATGGCCCAGGGGCCAAAAATCTCATAGGGCCAGTTTTGTATCGCTTGCAAACTAAGCATAATCTTGTACATTTTTAAATGGTAGAAAAATATTCGAAAGAATCTGAAATGCAAATTTCAGTGTCCATTAATAAAGTTTTACTGGAATACAGCCACAGTCACTTGTTTAGGGACTGTTGTGACTGCTGTCGCAACCACAGAGCTGATGAGCTGTGAGAGGGATCTCCTGCAAAGTCTAAAATATTTACCATCTGGCCCTTCCCAGAAAAATCCATCCCTGGTGGAGGAGGAGCAAGTGCTCTCTCAGAAATCAGAAAAAAAAGTTCTACTACCATCAAACTCAGCAGCCCTTGGTGGGGAAAAACAGAGGATTTGGACAAAACTGATACCCTCTTCACTCAGTCACACCTTCATGTTGAATGACAAGGCTCCAAGTTCACATCACACGCACAAGCAGGGGTTAAACTGGGGCCTTCCCCGAGTTGAATGAGGCAGCAGATAGGACAGAGCTGGCTGAGAAACGCAGGTCTTCCCCGAGTGTCCTCCCCACTCTTCCACATTGCACCTCCATGGCTCCCGAGGTCCCTGCCAGCTCTCCATCACATGACTCCAAGATAGAGAGCTTCCCTCAACTCAGAGTAAATCAACCCAGCTGAATGCAGGCGGCAGGGGCAAAGATAACCTTTTAGGGTCAGCCACCTGAAGATAAACCCTGTACTGACCAGTTACTACCTATAAGTCCAGGTCAGTTATGGAGCCCTTGGTTTTCTCATCTAAGAATAGTTAAGCATTTCCTCCACGGGCTTGTTTTGGGGGTTAAAGATACCGTTCAAATGTCAGTTGCCTTGTCATCTTCCTCTCTCCCTTTCCCAGAGATAGTTATTTGGAGAATAAACAGTAAGTGTGCCTTGTTAGGAAACTTTCTTTCAAATTAGCTTAGAGTTTAAGATGTTTTTTACAGAGTCCTATAAAAGATATGGAATCTATCAGAGCAATAAAAATAGGCTCAGTATTTGCTTGGGTGTTTTCCTTACATATCTTTCAGTCCTTTGAAGCTTCTTCCAAATCATAATCCAAAAATAAGAGCACTATAATTTTTAGAAAAGTTACGTTTATGCAATTTTTATAGCAAGCCGCACAAAAAACTAGGCTACATCATACTCATGTTCAGTTATGAAGACCGAGACTGTAAAAAAATATCAGCACCAGAAAGCCCTAGTTTATTTAGTCTGACTTCCTTAACATGAAGTTCTTCTTGGTCTTAAAATATTCAGCTTTGGCTGAATTCCAAAGCTGACATAAGCCTACTTCAGGTGTTTTGAAGAGAATGAAGAAAATCAGAACTGAAAGCAAGACTGGAATATAAAACCTTTTTTATGTGATCACAAATGCAAGAACGTAATTGTCTGAAACCACCATTAAATCAAAATTTCCACCCACACTTACAAAAATATGTATATATTCTCATATTTGGCTGTACAGGATACCAAATGTTAATTTCAATAGCATGTTACTATTCCTGACATTGGCGAGCAGAGAGCTAATTGCATCAGTCACTGGAACTGCAATGACACTTTCTGGAATCTGTGATAGGATGAAAAGATACTTTTTTTTTATGGATTATGCTAGCAATCACTTTAGCCAAACCAATCTTAGTTATTAAAATAGCCAGTAGCATTTTAAACAATGCTATATTAGGTACTTTCCAGCCCATCATGGTATACAGGACAATAAAAAACAGACCCTGGTTCTCCCACCAAAATCCTTACAAAGATACCACCTAAGTCTAGTGCAAGCGACAAGGTTATTGCTTTCCGAAGTAATTAGGTGGAAGTTCAAAACGGTAAGACTGGGACATCCAAGCCACTAAACACGCTCAAGTAAGATCACGACATAGCATGCAAATTGATACAGATGTACTCCGCGAGGGACCGGCTGCCTGGTTCCGGTACTCCCAAAACTACACAGAGAAAAAAATGAGAGCGTCATCTAACACAGTCACAGGTATATACAGAAGGAAAATATGCGCCAAACCTAACAGAAGAGAAACCAAGACACCAAATGGACAAAGGCTGATTGGGGCACTATCTCGCACTGCTCAACTGAAAAGTTCTTTATGAGGACCACACAGACCCATGCTCCAGCGCGGGCCGGTGGGTGTGGGTGAGTCAGTCGGTCTAGCACAAATACACATAGGATCTTGCACCAGCACCCACTCTTTCCCAGGAGCAGCGAGCGCCAGGAGCAGTCACGCAGCGCCGCTCGCTGCCCCTAAGGTGGGGGCAAGAAGTAAAGAAGTAGGAAGCACGCTTGCTGCCTAGAAAAACATCTGCCCCCCGCTGCGGCGGCCAGGGAAAACGTGGCCCCTGACCGTGGAGGATGGGGAAGGGGTTGCACACGCACCTGCATTGTAAAAACGGTCCAGCACGGTGGTTTCTCCAAAGTCCAGTTTACCAAAATGCAGGGTCTCCAGGGTGGCGCCCACCGTCTCACACGCCTCCCGCAGGCTCTGCAGGGCCTCGCTCTCGGCCACCACCAGCTGCCCCTGGCTCGCTTCGTTGATAACATATGCCACCGTGGTCCGTCGGCCGCCTCCGCTACTAGAGTTGCCCCGGCACCGGGTGGCGCTGCTCCCAGAGGTGGCGGCGGGACAACCGGTGCCAGGGGCGGCGGCAGTCTCTACGTTCCAGAAGCTGCCCGGCGGCGGTAGCTGGCTCTCCTCGTCCTCTGCTGCCACCGCCGCTCCTCCCCTCCGGCAGCTTCCACCCTCGGCGAAAGGTGGCACCGAGAAAGTGATACCCTCGCCCGCTTCGGCGCTCATCTCTCCCGGCCGGGCTGCGGCGGCGTCCCCCGCCCAGCCACACCGTCTGGCCAGCCACAGCTCCGGGCTGCTCCGCGCGCGCCGGGCTAAGCAGCTGCCATCGCGCGTGGCGCCCTCTGCGCCGCGCCGCCGCCTCCTGTCAGGCGCTCTCTCCCCCGAAGGGACGCCGCTGCCCGGCGGCGGCTCACCCCTCCTCTGCGCCTCCGTGGCCGCGCCGCTTGTCCGAGGCAGGGTGTAGAGTACAAGGGGTGGGGACGCCAGGTTGAGCGGGAAGGGACAGCGCTTCCTTCTCCTGGCCCGCAGACAAGTCGCTTCGCAAACGTGCGCCGCCGTGCAGCTCAAGGGCGCCGCGCTCGGGGTGCGGTGCGCCCTGACCACCGGAGCACGGCCCCGGCGTCTCCCTTGCCGGGCGCTGGGAGCGGCCGGGGAGGGTGCCCGCTGGGTGGGGAGCTACCTGGCCAGCACCTCTCGGGCGGGCAGGCTCCCCGGGCTGCGTCCCGGAACAGCAGCAGCCGAAAGGACCCGCCTCCCTCCTCGGCGGCAGCTCCCCTTCATCTGCTCTATTTCCTCCTCCTCCTCCCCTGGCCTCGTTTCTCGCCAGAGCGCGCCGCCGCCGCTTAGTCCCAGCGCCAGCCTCGCCGCTGCAGTCTCGCCGCTCCTCGCAGCCGCTCGCTCCGTGGGCCACTGGCTTCGGCCGCCCACTCGTCGCGGCCACGAGAGTCAGGGCCCGCCCCGGAGGAGGGCCCTGCTGGGAAGCTCCAGCCCGGACGAAACCGACGGCGCCGCGGCTCCGGGACGTCGGCTGGGCCCCGAGCGCGGCGCCGGGCCGGGGTTCTCCGCTGTCACCCACCCGGCCCCACCTAAGAAGACTCGGAGTCAGCCAAAGCCCGGAGCGCAAACGACGGCGGCTTGGCGCAAAAGAAAAAAAAAAAGAAAGAAAGAAAGAAAGACTCTTCTGAGAACGCTCTGGCCTTTTGCTGCGGTCCCCGTGGCCAGGGCGCCCCCCGCCGTCGCCTGCCGGACTAGCCCTGCGCGCAGTCTGGTACGGAGCAGCGCAGAGGCGCTGGGGCTGCGCCGGGACGCACGCGTTGCGCAAAGCCGAAGGATTTCCACTAGCGCGCCGCAGCCGGGACCGAACTGGACGACGATCGATTCCCGACCGCGGCGCTCGGAAAGTGGCTGGCATCATTTATCAGGTCGGCCTCTGCTACTTTCCATTTAGAAAATTCCAGTGGCTATGTTAACATTAATGAGTAATTGATTGGTTCCAACTTCTGAATGACTTCGCATTCTCACTTAGGTTCTTATAAAGTACCCCTCCCCACGCTCAGTATGCTTTCTGGACACAGAATAAGGGGTCTATACCCCACTCGGCAAAGCATCATCCACCAGATGAAAGGAGGAAATTAAGAGACATTGGATTCTTTCAAAATGCACTACATTGGGGGAGGGGAGGATACCTGGATTGCTTAAGAGCGATGAAAAGGAAGAGATCTACTTCTTTGGGGAGCAAAAACATGTGTAAGTTCTCACAGAACTTCTTCAACATGCTCTAATTAGGAAAACCGGTGAAAATTGCAGCGAAATAAGGTAACGGCTATGGACTTCCCATCTCAGAGATGGGAACCGAGATTAATGAGTTCTGTAAATAAAGTAGAATAATGCAAATTATTAATGCGAATTCAAGTTTGGAAGAAAAGGAAGGATAAAACAGTTGAATAGTAGAGTTAAAAGAAGGAAGGAAATAATAGTGAGAAAAACACCTAGCAGCTACACAACCATATCCTCAACGAAGCAAGTGACATTAGCTTTTTCTAAAGGCGTGTAAAATGATAGAAGTAAATTTATAGTAAGGAAATTATGTCAGCTGGGATCTATATGCTCTCTGTCTGCTTTAGGACTTGATCTCATTAGGAAAGTAGATATTCAGTGAATCAACTATCATACTGGAGTAAAATATTGACAGGCTCCTAATAGATACACACTATTATTTCCAACAACTTGTCAAACCTCCAAACTCTTGTGGCAGTACATAAGCCTCCGCCCCATCCTGGCCCCAAACAATACATGCTGGAAATTCATTACGACCAGGTGTGGAAAACTAAAATGCCTAAACTCTCACATTGCATTTTGCTACACAATAAGATATGAGATTATATATAAAACTATTTTCTAAAACCTATACCTTTTTAGATCATTTCAACTTTGACCCCTTCCAGATCTTTTCAGAGCCATTTTTTCATACACACAATTTTTATTTTTGTTTTACTTTGTTTGCTTTGTTTGCTTTGTTTCACTTTGAATTGATGTAGTAACTTTAAAGATCACCCAAACCCCCCAGTGCAATATGATGGATTCTAGTTGGTGCTAAGGCTCTTTCTTACTACCTGAATGGCTGGTTTAGCTAATGAAACTTAAATGCCATGTATTAGATTGAACCATGTGAAATTTCCATTTTTACAGCTGACCAACACTCAAATACACCAAATTCAGATGGCTTAACTCAGATGTGGGGCCTCTGTGGAGGCAGAGAGGACAGGTGGGGTACTGAGACCCAGCCTGATCTTAGCTTGCCAAGCCTGGCTTAGTGTGTCCTGAAGGAATGAAAGCCTTTTTCTAACTGGTCTGCTTAGAAGTTGTGCCTTTGCAATTTGTCTGTAAAGAAGGAGCAATTTTTCTAATCCAAAAGGACATCTAATATGGTAGTGGTCAACAGGGAAAAATCATTGCCTATCTTGGGGCAATGTTTGTTCATGAAAAGGTAAAATGGTGAATTTTGAGCCTGAAATGGACAAGGATCTCCCGCTTCTGTTTTAGGTGACAAGTCTGCCTTTCTCTGTTTCCTCAGATAAGATAAATGGGACTACAATATATTCTTAACTCCAAAAAGTATTTAAGGCTACAGACAAAAAAACATAATGTTTTACATGTAGTAATGTAAATATAATTCAAATTATCAGAAATCAATAAGGAAACCAGTAAAGAAGTATCAAGTGTCTGGGATGAATTAATAGTTTAATTATTGCTAAATTTATCTCCATGTATTTTGGCTGCCAAAATAAAAAGAAAATACATAAGAGTACATATATTCATACAAAGAGTCAAGTCTTGTCCTGGCATGGAATTCTATAAAGACTTTATTATAGAATCTGATATAGAGTACATTAAGCAATACAATAGAATTGAATGTGGATTTGTAAAATATTATATGTTTTTCAAGTTTATATTTAATATTTTTAGACACCAAGAACATAATATTGAATATTAATTCAATGAAAGCATTTCAGAGGAATCTAAAATAATATAAATCAGATGCAATACTTTCTGGTTATATTACCTTAATAAATGCAGGGAATTGAGGGTATTATGTAATTCACTGTAAGCTCATAACTTAGTATTCTGCATGGAGGAAAGAAGGAACCCAAGGAAATAGGTAACGTATTGCTTAGATCCTATCATAAACAGCAGGCTTCCCTAGAAGCTTTTGACAAGAATTAAATCACAGTCACTGAATGATAGCAGCATAATATCATGAAGACTATGACCTCTTTCCACTTTTAAAAGGCATGGCAGCAAAACTGAAGTGTACTGGTCAGAATCATATTCTCACTCAGAGTCTAGTCCTCTTCCACTCAGAGACAGGTCTTGGGACACCTTTGAGAACACCTACAGATAGAGTAAAGAATTTTCCTAATAAAGAGCTAGAGAAATGCAAGGGAGAGATTTCTGCTTCTGATTATGACAGATTAGGTCTTTCCTTCTCCCTGAATAAGCCTAAGAATGCTAGACAAAATTTGAAATTTAAAATAAAGGCATTGAGGCACTAATGAGATAATGAGGAACTAGCTGGCCAGATTTTAGAAGAGAGGCCAGGTATCTGGAGGGTGTTTTCAGAGTTGGAGCTGCTTTGGGCCTGGCAGTTTCTGAGAGTCTGAATTACGCAGCTGAAAGGCTGAGCTACATTTTTGACACCTGGAAGGACAAAAGCGAGAAAGATATAATCAAAAAGTAGGAGTGAAATAAAACTGAAATGAGCCTTACATGGATAGCACCCTGTCTCCAGGTATCTGAGTAACCCAGAAAAAAATTCTCAAACCCTGAAATTGGCTTAAGGTAATTCCAGACCTTCAACAAACAAAAGTTATTCTACAGGGAGATAACATGATTCTGGACCATGGATTATTTCTATAAATATAAGACGTGTGCATGTAGTTAAATATTTGAATACATGGTAGAATGGTAGAGGAGGAGAAGAATATGAACCGAATCCTGACTTTGCCATCTGTTCCTGAGTCTCTCTTCCAGATCCCTCTCCATTCATATACCCCTAGTCTCTGCTTTGGGAGGCTAATCTGTATGAATTAAATCAATGGGCTTCCTTGTTTTCTTTTTATCAATCAGGGTTGATCAATGGCCAGGTAGGGTTCTGAGGGGATTGGGACTTTATGAGTCACCTCAGGCTAACTTTGGTTCTCAACAGGAAGTCACTGCTTTTCTCAAGGGGTGGATCCTACAGGATCCACTTTCCTACAGGGCCTTATAACTGTCCCTCACCTTGTCCTCTGGTACGTAGAAATGATGATAACTCTGAAGCCTTCAGCCCCAAGTTTCAGTACAATCCTTTGAAACTTCCTTTATACCTCTTCCACACCTTTGTAATTAGTCTTTTTGCAAATAAACCCACCTCAAATTATCTTGTTTCCTATTGACTCTGATAACTACTAATGAGCTTTTAGAAATTGGAAAACTAATTTAACCTCTTTGGGTCTGTTTCCTCACCCATAAAATCAAGTGTTGAATTAGATTAAACTGAAAATTCTTTGCAGCTCTAATGTGTTGTGTTTAAGTATTCAGTCGAAATACCAGTTCTTATACTAAATTGAAATGTGTAAAGAACAAAAATACCACCGGGTAACAAAATAGTACATGGGGGAACTTTCTCTTTATAGAAATATTCTAGCAAACGTACATTAAAAAAGTCTGAGGTAGTTACAATGTCACCATTTTGCAATTTCTTTTTTTCTTTTCTTTTTTTTTTTTTTTAAAGATTTTGTTTATTTATTTGACAAAGAGAGAGAGAGATCACAAGTAGGCAGAGAGGCAGGCAGAGAGAGAGGGGCAGAAGCAGGCTCCCCGCTGAGCAGAGACCCTGATGGCGAGGCTCAATCCCAGGACCCTGAGATCATGACCTGGGCTGAAGGCAGAGGCTTAAGCCACTGAGCCACCCAGGTGCCCCCCATTTTGCAACTTTTAATGAGTTTGGATCCAGGTATGGATCATCAATGATGGTGGCACTAACATCACGAAAAGAGAGAGAACCAGGAAAAACACACCACCAATTATGAGGTAATAATACTAAAAACAGTGGGTATAAATCTCAACTAAAGCCCCAGACTCCAAGGCTGAGATTTGACAAGTAA